AATAAGTAGGAGTACACTCTAAAATAATGATAAAAAGTATAGTATAGTAAATACATAAATCAGTAACATAGTTGTTTATTACCTTTATTAAGTATTGTGTATGTATATAATTGTATGAGCTAGACTTTTATATGACCAGCAGCACAGTAGGTTTGTTTACATCAGCGTCACCACAAACACAGGAGTATTGTGTTGCGCTACAAAGTCATGATGGCCAAGCAAAAAAGTTCCTAATGCTCATTAAGCAATAGGAATTTTTTAGCTCCATTATAATCTTACGGGGACTGCTGTCGTATATGTGGTCTGTCCTTGAACAAAATGTTGTTAAGCGGTGCATGACGGTAAATGATGAATTATGTGTTCCCTGTTGTTCACTCTTGGAGCATCCTGGGTTTTTCTTCACAGCACATACAACATTGTGTAACCCAGTGGTTACTGTGTACTTAGTATGTGTTTCCCCACTAGACTTTTAAGTTACATAAGATCAGGAGATGCATCTGTTTTATTCCTTATTATATGTAGTGCCTAGAAGCTGATGTGGGACAGATGCTGAATAACTATTTGTTTTAAGAAAAGGAAAGAAGAAAGTAAAGAAGCGTATAAATCAAGTTGAAAAGTACCTGTCAAAGATTCATATAGTATACATGGATAGCATTACATGGTGATACTGAGTATCAGGGTAAGATATGAAAATGAAGTTAATATCAGCTGGGGCTGGTTGTGGTGGTCCATGCCTCTAATCCTGGCACTCTGGGAAGCTTAGACAGGAGGATGGTTTGAGCTTAGGAGTTCGAGACCAGCCTGAGCAAGAGAGAAGACCCTGTCTCTACTAAAAATAGAAAAAAATTAGCTGGACAACTAAAAATATAAAGGAAAAATTAGCCAGGCATGGTGACACTTGCCTGTAGTTCTAACTACTTGGGAGGCCGAGGCAGAAGGATTGCTTGAGCCCAGGAGTTTGAGGTTGCGGTGAGCTAGGCTGATGCCACCTCATTCTAACCTGGGCAACAAAGTGAGACTCTGTCTCTAAAAAAAAAAAAAATCAGTTGTCACATGATGACTCTGTCAACATTTCCTTTTGTCTTTATATGGTGGCCACTTGGAATATTAAAACTAAAGTCTTATTTTATGGATTTCAAAACTCTAAGTGTGTAAAATGTGACTTTTAGATTTTTCAGAACCTTCTCAAGTTAACGAGAATTATTTTGATCATGGCAGTGAATCAAGGTCAAAACAGATTTGCCATTATTTCTGAGGATGAGTCAACACTGCTCTTCAGCGATCCTATTTTGAAGTGGTGTACTAAGAGCAGAATGATCTTTATGTCTGTGATGTTTCTCTTGCCTTATTTTCTAGCTTCCCACTCATAAAAAAATGTTATAATTCCATATATTCCCTTGTGTTTATTATTGGAATTTCCTGTGGTAATGAATTAACATTTACATACTGCAGACTCTAAGGACTGGGGGTCCATCCTTGGATTCCTTTTTTTAAAGCATGTATATTTGCATGTGGGACTATTTGAAGTCTCTGGTGATGTCATGAAGGTTTTCTGATTGTACGTTCTGTGAAATTTCTATTATACCATAGCAGAAGATGTGCCAGTTGATGGGGACAAGGTGAGGTGTTGGGGTAGGAGGTCTACCAGATGTGTCTGTGTTACACCAAGAGATTATGCTTGAACCATCTCAGGCAGTGATGTCTTGATGTTCAGGAAGAAAGGGGAGACCATGGTGTATGCATATGTGTCCCTCACTGTTTTTAGTAGATAACATGCTCTATATGAATCTTAAACAACTAACATAGTGCTCGTACATGGTTGATGCCTGAGACGTATTTGTTGAGTTGACTCGGTGTGAATGGTCAGGGATAACTATAGTCAGCAACAAAAACCGTCGTTGTGAAAAACAAGTAAGCTACACTACAGTTGCATTTGGAGATATAGGAATAAAACTGGCGTGGTTGTAGTAGACCATTTTAGAAAGTCTGGCAAGGAATATATAGACTTCCACCATTTAAACCGTTTAAAACGATTTAAAGGGCAAAAGAAGCTGCATCTTCTTTGTTCTGAAAAGAGATGTTTGAAAGTCACTATTCTGAAATAAAGGGGGTTAGAGGAAGAGAAACAAAGGTATCACGTCAAAATCACAGTGTAGAATCTTGAAATGAGAAATAGGTTTAAATTCAGTTTGGAGTGAAGTATAGAAAAATAATCATATGCAAGGGTGAAAGAGTAGAAGCCTAAATGTCACTGAACGGTTGATGTGGTAGAGGATGTGATTTTTCTTTTCTGGCCTAAGTAAACTGCTAGGTCATATATATTTTTTTCTTTTTAGTGACATGCCACTGTGTAACTAGCTCATGTTTACTGCCAATGTTAGTATTATTGCCACATTTATGTGCCAGTACTTCACATTCACTGTCTCATTTGATGTTACAAAGCTTCATGAGCTAAGGTGCACTATGGTTGATCATCTCCGTTTTCCTGATGAGGAATCCAAGGAACCAAGAGGTTAAGTAAACTGCCCAATGACACACTTTGTAAATGACGAGCTGACACTGTGACCACTGCCCAGGCGGGCACAGCTGGCCTCTGGAAGAAGAATGTGGAAGTGCTCAATTGATAGATAACTGTGGCCCTGACTGACTTTTTTCCCTCTAAAGAACTTGTCAAAAGTGAGATGCAAAGGAGAAGAGAGTGCCAACATTTTTAGAAGAAATAACAGTTGATGGTAGAAACATTTAGTTTTGATTAGAAAAAACTAATTTTAAGGCCTTGAAAACTCATGCTAAATTTGTGACTATTAAAGAAAAAAATTAAACATCTAATCATGTCGATAGGCATATGGCTCAGATGGGTTACAGAGTTGCTAAGGGAACAGGTTAAAAAAGTGAGGGGCAAGCTGAGCTGTACTCAGAAATTCAGATTGACTCTAAAGCTAGATTTTAAAAAAAAATCCTAAAAACTCTAGTGGAATAGCATGAAAATAACAAAAATAAGTAGTTTTTTTTTTCCTTTTCTTTAAAATTGCATTGATTCTGAGGAGATATTTATGGGAACCAGAAAGCTAAACTAGAGATTAATATGAAACAATAGGGACTATTTTTAAATTACTAGGTGGTAAATAATTGCAAGAAATATGAGGTATTTTTAAAAGTAGTGACTAAAGTACCGTATTTAAATTTTATGCTTTTGGGGCTAACAAAGTCCTATTTTTCTCATAAGTTTTGAGTGATAACAGTAACACTTGCTTAACTGATAAGGTATGTTTGAGTAATTCCTCTTTTCACTGGTTTCCAAATGTTTAAATACTGTGTTTTGTTCTACCTATGGACAACAGGCATGATGAGATAGGCAGGAGAATGCTTATTTTGCTTTCTTAATGTATTTCCTAAGGAATAATTTTTCTCAAGGAATATGTCTTATGATCACTGAAAGGAAATATTAATAATGTATATTTGTAGTAATATGAAATGTTCAAGAACTTTTTTCTGAATATTAAACTAAGCACTCATTTTACAGGATTTGGAAAGAAAATCCTGTTGGAAAATATATATCACTGATAATCCTACTGGTTAGAAATACCTTAATATTTTGACCTTTCCTTCCAATTCCTTTAAAAAAATTTAAAAACATATCGAGATCATATTTTATATATATAGCTTTTTTTCACTCAACATTCTAGTGTAATATTTTCATGTACCATTAAATACTCTTCAAAAATACTTCTAATGTCTACATAACATTCTGCTATATAAATCATATAACTCAATTTATTTCCTTGAATGTGAACCTTTAGATTGGTTGAAATTTCTTATGTACATGAAATTGTTTAACAACTTTATTGATACATTTTACGTTTCATACAATTTAGCCATTTCAAGTGTACAGTTCAATAGTGTTAAGTAATTTGACCAAATGGTGCAACCATCACCATAATCAGTTTTAGAACATTTTCTTACCCCCATAAGATCTCTCATGCCCACTTATAGTAGATCCTCACTCCCATCCGTAATCCCTGGCAACCACTAATCTACTTTCTGTCTCAATATAATTGCCTTTTCTGAATATTTCATATAAATGGATTTATATAATATGTGGTTGCTTGTGACTGATTTCTTTGCTTAGCATAATATTTTTGAGGTTCATCCATGACAATAGCATATATCAGTTCTTTATTCCTTTTTATTGGACAATATTCCATTGTATGTAGATACACTATATTTTATATATCCATTCACCAGTTGATGGACATTTAGGTTGTTTCCATCTTTGGGCTTATTATGAATGATACTGCTATGAACATTCATGTGCAAGTCTTTGTTTTTCATTTTTCTTTCATACGCAGGAGTGAAATTTCTGGGTTGTCTGGGAATTTTATGTTTATTTTTTTGAGAAACTGCCAAACTGATTTCCAGAGTGGTTATACCATTTTATATATTCCCACCATATCCTCACCAACATCTGTTATTGTCTTATTTATCAGAGTCATTCTAATGGGTATGGTATCTCATTGTGGTTTTAATATAATTTCCCTAGTGACAATGGTATTAAACATCTTTTCATGTGCTTATTAGCCATATAATATCTTCTTTGTTGGAATATCTATTTAGAGCTTTTATCAACTTTTCTTTCTATTAGATTGTTTGAGTATTGAGTTATAGGTATTTGTAAGTTCTGGGTACAAGTCTTGTATGGTTTGCAAATATTTTGGTCTGTTCCTTGGCTTTTCATTTTTTAAGCTTTCTTTTCATTTTTTGAAGTCCAAAAATTTTGAACTTTGATGTAGTCCAATTTATCAATTTTTTTATGACACTGTTTTTTGGTGTTATATTTATAAATTCTTTGCCTGATCCAAGATCTTGAAGGTTTTATATATATTTTAATTATATGAAATTTTAAAGACTATTTAAAAATATTTCTTAAGAATGGATACTGAAAATTAAAATTTTAGAAAGTCTTAATATATTTTTTTAATAAACTTTTTTTGAAATTTCAGGTACAGAGAGATGCACAAATCACAAGGGCATAGCTCAATGAAATTTTAGAAAATGAATACATGAACCTCCCAGAAGCCCTTTCCTAGACATTGCTCCTACTCTTGCCAAAGGTAATCAATAACTAGTAATACCATAGGTTAATTTTATCTGTATTTGAACTTTATATAAATTGAATAGCATATAATGTTATACACATATATACAATTGTATACAAATATATACATTTTTGTATCTGTGTCTTTTACTCAATATTATAATTGTGAGACTCATCATGTGTTCCATGTATTGTGTTATGGCAGTTTGCTCATTTCATCATGGCTATATAGTCTTGTCTTGTCTTGTCTTTTCTCTTTTCTTTTCTTTTCTCTTTTCTCTTTTCTTTTCTTTCTTTCTTTTTCCTTTTTTTTTGAGACAGAGTCTTACTCTGTTGCCTGGCCAAGTGCCATGGCATCAGCCTGGCTCACAGCAACCTCAAACTCCTGGGTTCAAGAGATCCTCCTGCCTCAGCCTCCTGAGTAGCTGGGACTACAGGCTTGCACCACCATGCCTGGCTAATTTTTTTGTATTTTTAGTAGAGATGGGTTCTTGCTCTTGCTCAAGCTGGTCTTGAACTCCTGAGCTCAAGCAATCCTCCCCCCTTGGCCACTCAGAGTGCTGGTATTACAGGCGTGAGCTACCACTCCCAGCCTGTAGTATTTCATTCTATGAATATATCACATTTATTTATCACTTCTACTGATGTACATTTTTGCTGTCTTAATATTTGGTTATTTGAAATAGTGCTACTAGGAATATACTTGTACTTGGCTTTTGCTATACCAAAGTAAGCATTCTGTTCAGTATATACTCAGGAGTGGGATTGCTGGGTGACAGAGCAAGCATCATAACTATAATACAAATTTAACATAAACTGTTCTCCACAGTTACCAATTTCCACCCCCAATAACAATGTGTAAAGTTCCATTTGTACTACATTCTGATCAACACTTGGTATTTTTTTAACTTTAGCCATTCTTTTGGAACTTTGTTTCATTGTGATTTATATTTGCATTTTCCTGATGTGCGGTGTGAGCCCTGAACACCAGCTTCCTGCCCCTTGAGACTCTGCTCTGCTCAGCTTTTCAGCTGCCTCTTTTACTCATCTTTTAAGCTTCTCAGCTGCTTTTAAGCCTTTCAGCTGCCACTTTTCAGGCTCTCAGCTTCTCAGCTGCCTTGAGACCACCTCTGAGATGGCATTTTGGAATTGGTTCCTGCCTTCAGGGGAAAAGTGGCACTAATTGCAGAGCTACCTCACCTCTCCATACTTCCCTTTCCTCTGAGATCTTGGCCTCTCAGGTCCTCCCTGCTTTGGTAGCCCTTAAATGTCTTCAAAGAGGTTTAAAAATGTTATCCAGTTTATTTGGTTGTTCTTGGTAGGAGTGTTGGTCTGCTACAAGTTTATCTTTCTTTGCCAGAAGACAAAGTCCCTGGAATGTTTTTAAGGCTGTTGATACAGCTTTCTGCATTACTATAAGGCTGCATTTCTATTGGTGGAGTATCTGTGTGCTAGAATTATTTTCATTTTATTTAAACCTTTGAAAATTTGCCAGGCAAAAAGTAACATTGCATTGTTATTTTAATTTTGATTTTTATTCTAGTGAGACTGAACACTTTCAAATGATTGTTGGCTTTTTTGCATCTTTAATTTATCATTTACTTGTTAGTATTTATTACTTTCATTGATTTTTAAGAATTTTTAATGTGTATTATTGTCTGTATTAACAAATAAGGATTCATGCATCTGAAGATAAGCAGTTATTATATGATGGACTTCAAAATAATTAGCTTTTCTATTGATCTTTATGTTTCAAGATTTTTAAAGGTAAGGGTTGTGTCTCCTTTTGTAGTCTTTCTTTGTATCTGGTACATGGTATAGTTCATATGAACATGAAGCAGATTGCATTTAAAAAATAGTGTAGAGATAGAAGCAGGAAGCCCTTGAAGAATGTTTCCTTATGTTATGCTATGTACAGTGATTAGTCTGTATGAAAAGTTTGTCTAGCTATTGATTTATATTATATCATTAGAAGGATGTCCTCAAGTCTAAGGTGGTGAGGCATCCCATTTCTTTTGACTTTATTGAGGTATAATTGACATACAGAAAATTGCACCCATTTAATGTATACATCTTGATGAGTTATGACATATGCATACACCCATGATACTATCATTATAATCAAGGTACTAATCACCTCCAAAAATTTCCTGTATTGTTTTGTGTGTGTGTGTTTTTAAGAACACTTAACAATGGATCTGTCCTTTTAACGTAAAGTGCATAGTATGGTATTGTCAACTGTAGGTGCTATGTTGTACAGCAGGTCTCTAGAACTTACTCATCTTGCATAACAAACTTTATACCCATTGAAGAACAGTTCCCCATTTCTCCCTTCCCCAGTTCCTGGCAACTGCCATTCTATTCTCCGCTTCTATGAGTTTGACTATTTTAGATATATCATATAAGTGGAATCAGAGGCATACCAATTTTGAGTCCTTATCTTCTTTCTCACATCCATACAAATTGCTAACTTAAGATCAGATTCTCCTTTGTGATATATCACATTTGTTGGATATAAATACCTAATTCATAAATATCCACAAATGTATAAGGGGAATTACATGTTTTAACTTCCTCACATGAAGTTAGGTTACCCTCATTCCTGGAAGCATCATATAAATGTTGAGTGGCAACCTTACCAGTTGCATTTTGAAGGAGTTTAAGAGTAACATAGTTTTAAACTGAATTCAGAGTTTGAAAGCATGCACATAAAAATTTAGAAAACCTGAAGCATTCTCCATTCACATAGTTTATTCAACTTTGTTTGGATTTCAAGAAATCATCCAAACAGTTTAATATTTAGTCAGCAGTATGAAAATAGTGTCTGACAATGAGGGGCAGTGGAATTTTCCTCATCCATATTTTGGCTTTTTTAATTGTGGAAGTATAATATAACTCACAGAAATGTCCTTGTTTTAGTCACTGCCCTACATTTTTTGATCATCTCCTTGACTCTGCATAAAACACAATGTCTGCTCTCATGCTGCCTCAGGCCTTCAGGGAATGGTGTTCTAAAGAAAAATTGAAGCCTTTGGGGAAGGCTGGTCTAAAAATAAAACCCTCAAGGTATTAGACCAGGGGTGTAGGCCAGATCTACAGACAACATTTTTAACATTGCAAACTGTGATGGAATAAAATCCCTTTCTCTTTACTAGGGTGAAAGGCAGTAAAGCATTTTGGAAATTGCAGGAACTTTGGAGCCAGGCTGCTAGGGTTCCAATTCCAGCTTTCCCACCAGTTGTGTGATTGGAGGCATGTCACCTTTGAGCCTAGCTTTAATGGTGTTCAAAGTGGGGAGGTTAACTCCTGCTTTTGGGGTGGTTTGTCAGGATTAGCAATAATATATTTTAAGGTCTGGTACCTGGTGGGTGTTTAAGAAATGGTAACTGTAATTGCACATCTTAAATTTTTTCTCTTATTCTGGAATAACACTTTCCCCCACCCCTTAATGTGATGATGATTCACAGATGAGAGCCAGGTTACCTGAGTTTTAATCCGAGCTCTACTGTTAACTAGCTGTGTTACCTCGGGCAAGTTACTTAGTCTCCTTGTGGTTCAGCTTCCTTATCTATAAATGAGGATGAGTATGATGGCCACCTTCTAGAAATATTAATTGTATTAATATTTATCAAGAACTGAGAATAGTGTCTGGTAAATATGTAAGCACTAGGTAAGTATTTGATAAATAAAAGTAAACACTCAGCTTTAATTGGTTATTGTTATTCATAAAAGTATGGGATTAGAGGCACTAGAGGCAGCATTGCTGCACGTTGAATGATGGATTACAAGTAGGAGAACTAGGTATCACAAAATTTAATGAGATAAAAATTGGCAACCATGAAGCTGGCACAAATTCAGATGGTTGATATTGGTAAGTAGGAATATCAGAGTAGGAGACTCAAGAGTATGTACATGTCTCTAAAATGAGAGAGAAAGTGTTTTTTATGGCAGAGTAATTTTTCTCTATCTCAAGTTTTACAGATACTTTTAAAAAGAGAAAGAATAAAAACAGGTTCAGTAATTTCTTAGCATGAATTTTGAGAGTGCCTTCATTACTGAGAATTTTTTAAAAGTTCACCACACCTTGTTTTCCACAGACTTCTATTGGCCATAATAGCTTTTTTCAGTTAAGGGAAAGATTCACAAGTACAACTAATGGAGGAGATTCAATGGCTAAGCTACACCCCATACCTGCGCTGTTTTCCCTCTGCCTACAACCCTAGCTTGTGGGGTTGTAGAGCAGCTCAGCATTTTACCCCTGAGTTAAAAACTAGAGACTTCTTTTCTCAAGAAATGAAAGGAACTGCCTGAGGACAACTGGGGTTGATGAGGGGGAGTCTGTATACCCCAAACAAAGCCCTCCTCTTCCTGATATTTCTAGGCTCACTCTCTGCTTATTCTAAAATGAAGCCTGTCTTTTGACAAGTCTAATGTCTCCACGTGCAGAGATCCTTGCCCGCTGCCTTATTATAGGAGAGACTAGCAGAAGAGGAGAGCCATGCACCCCCTGGCAGAAGAAACCCACAGCAGCCTTAGAAGAAAAAACCACCCTGTCCTTTATTCAGAAATATTCACTGGGTATATGACAAGAAACAAACAGTATCACAAAAGAGTGAGAACAAATTAAATAGAACTAATGTCCCCCTAAGAAACTGAACTTAAGCAATAGAAGAGACTATAAAAGAAAAAGAAAACTTTAGGGGAGTTTCAGGAACGTGGCGTCTGGAAAATAAGTACAGGATGGAGTAAAATGGGAACAATCAAAGAATAAGGAGGAACTCTTGAAAATTAGACATTTGTTTGCTGAAATCAACACAATTCAATGGAAAATTTAAAAGATGACTGTAAAGAAATCTCCTGCAACATAATGTAAAAAGTGAGGCAGAAAATGTAAATGAAGAGCAGAGATAGGCTCAGTTAACTTGGTCCAATATCTAAATACTTGGAATTCCAGAAGATACATTTGAGTAAATGAAGAATTGAAAATGTCAAGTAAATAACAGAAGTTCTTCTTGT